TGTTGATGGCAACAGTTACAGTCTAAATTGTAGACTTAGCCGTTCTTCATAGATGCCTAATGAACACTGTGTGCAGAACAACGTCGTAAAGAGTGTGGTTTTATGCAGTACGATCTTGATTTATTAACAAATCGCGTTAAATTTAGTTTTATTTGTAATATATCACGTCGCGTCGTATATAAGTACGCTTATATGGGTAAATCAATCTATCAAAACAGCAATCTGTTAGCAAACCACAAAGTCGCGAGAAAATATAGTTGCGAATAAAGGCAGATATTTCAAGGAAGCTTATTGCTTTCTAGGATAGTAATGGTAAAACATGTCATGCGTGTAAAGTGGTTTCAATCGCTTATTCCGCCATTTATTCATTTCCATCTCTTACCACGTTTATTGCATATTGAAATTCCCAGAAAAGTTGCAACATTCACACATAAATATTAAACGCTTATTACTATTTTTAGAAGAACTTCATAGAATAGGCACCCCATTCAGCAATAATGTCGGTATGTGTAATTGCCGATTAAGGTCATTGTTTTTCAAAATTCCCGGCAAGAGAATCAATTTAATCATTAGTAAGAATCTATAATTGGTCCCATCATAGTAGTGTAATACCCATGAAGAAGAAACCGCTACTTTTGATTGCCGACACCGTTATTATAATTTAAATGAAGTTGACCCACTATCATATTTTGCGTCGATCAATTTTTTGGGTATCTATCGTCAAAACCGAGACAATAGATAATTACGCGTATATGTAATTCAGGTCACTTTTATTAATTTATACCCATATATTTCAGCATGGAAACATTTCAAGAGGCCGCACTTCAGATGCTTAAGGAATTTCGCGCACTTTTGCAACATTCTCCCATGCCCCTCAACTGTAATCGTTTTTTACAACTTCTCGCACTGAATATGTTCGCGATTGACAGTACGCAGTTAAAGGGTAAGTGGATTTTTGAAAATTCTATTCGCGACATTAAAATGGTCGCCGTATATACCATATTAGTCGAGATGAAGCCCCGAGGATAATATATTACGACTTAGTAATGATCGAATGTATTAATTTTTATGAGGGCCCTTTTTGATTCTGACTTGCGCTTGCTGGGTGGGATCTGCTACAATATGTTAAAACGAAAAGAAAACGCAATTTATTATGTGCTTATGCCATAAATTTTGCGTTTAGCATTTTTTTCCCTCTCGGAATACTTGCCGCGGCCTTTACTCGTTAGATAACGTGCGGTTTTAGTGTTCAATAACATGCGCTGTTATTTTGTAATGGTTTTTTAAACGGTTGGTATCACTCGCTATTTTGTATACTGCTTGAAAATAATTATTTATCAGTACTACACAATAAATTATACACACTAATGTAAAGGGGTGGGAAAGGTGCCGTCTAAGCGTACCACATAATTATGTCGTCAGATTAAATAATATGGTAATTATTTATTTCGCTGGATTACAAAATGAAATTGACAAAATACTTGTTTAAGATTGTTCTGGCAATCTCTAGCCATTAAGGAACCTGAATGTTTTAAAAGCTCTATTTTTTTTTAAATTTTTTGTATTAGGCCTGGTTTGAGGTGAGTAACTTTTTGCGTTAATCTCGGGGAAGATTGTTCTAGTATGTACCTGAAGGTAAGTTGCTTTCAATAACTTTGGTAGGGTGCCCCCCCCCCCTCGCGCTTTGACATGACTGTCTGAAAATACTTTCGCGGGTCCTTGGTCGACATTTTAAAATTTATTTAAATTTTATGAAGACCTGAAAGGGGCACATTAAAATCCTGTGGTAAAATGTCGAGATGTTTTGAGTTCGAAATTTTAGGTTCAAAGTCAGATTTAATATTCGTGTGATATTTAAAATTTTCGGCTTTGCGTCGAAAATACTGACTCCACATAATGTGGAAATACCTTTCCCCTTAATAAAAAAAACCCCTACAGGCCTGTGTGACTTCCTATGTAAACGATCAGCATTAGTCTGGCGAAATGTACAAATGCTAAATTTAAAAATGTTGCACTGACCGGGAATCGAACCCGAGCGCCCCCGTGGCAGTTACAACAATTAGGACAACGACGACGATGACGGGTAAGTGAAAGCGCCAAAAGTTGTACAAGGTAAGTGAATTTGTTTTTATACACCAAATCAATTTGTATCCTATGAGCCTTTTTTGCATGTCAGATCTGAGAGTTGGGCATAAAGTATGACATCTTCAATTTATTCTGCAATTTTCAAAACCATAGACGTGTGTGTCATGAATGACACTTCCGTTGTCACATTTATATAACGGGCGATCAAAAACGAGCTACTGTCGAGTCGCCTTTGGAAGTTCAAGTTAAGTACCATTTCTCATGTAAACAAAAATTCCAAAGGTGACTCGACAGCAACTCATTTTTAATCGCATTGTATTTTGATTGCTATTATAAAACTACTTTTATTTATTTTAATTTAAAACACATTTCACAAATAATTTTAACACTAGTAGAGTAAATAAAAAATGTCACGTCCGTGAAGTGGAATTTTTGTTTACGTAGGAAATTGTACCACAGATTTAAATAGTATATTTAAATCTGTGATTGTACTTAACTTGAACTTCCAAAGGAGACTCAACAGCAACTCATCATGGATCGAGTGTTCTAAAAAACCGCTCGAGCGACGCGCGTTCTAATTGTATGAAAAAAGCTCAGATCGGCCCAGAATTTTCTTATAGAATGTGGCCTGTAGAATCCATAATTTCAAACAGTTCCTAGATCGGGCTACTAGTTCAAAAGTTACAGCCCTTTGAATTTTCTTTCGAAATTGGTTTCTAGTCTATAACTTTTGATTGAGAAGTCTGATCGAAAAAGTACGAATTGTTTTGGATTCTACGCACCAAAATTAATAAGAAAAAGTGTTTTCCCGAGAAATTTTGGTGTAGTCGATTTTTGGTAAAAAAGGAAGGTTATACACTGCCTTTTTTTGAGGCCCGAAAAAAAAATTGTCTCAGATCGACCCGGGAAAAAAATTTTCTTATAGAATGTGGCCTGTAGAATCCATAATTTCAAACAGTTCCAAGATTGGGCTACTAGTTCAAAAGTTACAGCCCTTTGAATTTTCTTTCGAAATTGGTTTCTAGTCTATAACTTTTGATTGAGAAGTCTGATCGAAAAAGTACGAATTGTTTTGGATTCTACGCACCAAAATTAATAAGAAAAAGTGTTTTCCCGAGAAATTTTGGTGCAGTCGATTTTTGGTAAAAAAAGGAAAGTTATTCACTGTCATTTTTTGAGGCCCGAAAAAAAAATTGTCTCAGATCGACCCGGAAAAGAAATTTTCTTATAGAATGTGGCCTGTAGAATCAATAATTTCAAACAGTTCCAAGATTGGCATACTAGTTCAAAAGTAACAGCCCTTTGAATTTTCTTTCGAAATTGGTTTCTAGTGTATAACTTTTGATTGAGCAGTCTGATCGAAAAAGTACGAATTGTTTTGGATTCTACGCACCAAAATTAATAAGAAAAAGTGTTTTCCCGAGAAATTTTGGTGCGGTCGATTTTTGGTAAAAAAGGAAGGTTATACACTGCCTTTTTTTGAGGCCCGAAAAAAAATTTGTCTCAGATCGACCCGGAAAAAAAATTTTCTTATAGAATGTGGCCTGTAGAATCCATAATTTCAACGCGAGACCGCTTGCGAGTTCCGAACACTCCTAAAAGTGCTCGAGTGGTTTATCGCGAGCGCTTGGGAAAAGTGCTCGTGAGCGGAAAAAAAAGCTCAAGAGCGGAAAAAGCGCTCGGGAGCAGAAAAAAACTTCTGAGAGCGGAAAAAACGTTCGGGAGCGGAAAAAACTATTACTATTACTATTTAAATCTGTGGTACAATTTCCCATGTAAACAAAAATTCCAAAGGTGACTCGACAGCAACTCATTTTTTATCGCATTGTATTAAAACGGTAGGCAGTTCTAAGTACCATCGTACATTTTAATATGAAAATTAGAGAATTGTTTGAAGAACAGTGACTAATTTATTAGAGCCTTTTACGTTTACCTAATCACCGCATGCATGCTACTGCTACAATTGTAGAGTTCATAAGCGAATTGTCGCTGCACCACCATAAAGTTAATTTTCCATTTAACATTTTTTAAAAAGATGCATATCGTGATGAAAAATAATATAATGACAGTAAAGTTTACGCGCCCACAGACGATAAACAAATGCCTTGCAAACTTAACAACATTATGATTTTGGGTGAGCCACCGTGAAGTTAGCTCGCCCATTTTGAATTTTTAAAAAAGACATACGGAAATGTAAACAAACGCTGAAAATAGTTAAACAAACGTAAACAAACGATAAACAAACGATGTGCATACAAATAATATTAATATGAACAATGGGCGGTGCCAACTTCACGGACGTAAAAAATGTCTTCTAGCTTGAAAGAGTTGTTGAAAGTTCCCATAATACAACTTGCATTCCCTCTTTGAATAGCGACTTCTGTTTTAAGAATAATGTTATTTATTTTATTGGCCTCTATATTTAATTAGCTCAAGAAGCTGATATGCCAATCTAATTCACTATCTAATTTAAAATGGGAACGTAAGTCCCAAATTTTTACCGGCTCGATCAAGTTTAACACCTAATTGGAAGGGACTAGTCTGGAAAGTTTTTTAGAGGAATTCGGTACAGAAATTTTAAAGGCAACCTACGTTCGGTTGGCGCAATGAATTTCGTTCCGATTTTACCATAGCGGAAGTTACTGTTTTTTTTTGGACAGTATTTCTTACGGGTTCTCAAAAAAAATCTTATAATTAAAAACGAGTGAAAACCACCGGAAGCAAAATTGCGTCGATAAAAGTTTATTAATACGAAGATTCTCTGTTGGCAAGTGCCAGTGCCACTAAAAGGTGTGGTGTGGTGTGGTTAGTTAAGAGAATGGTATTCAGTCGAGGACAAATCGCTAAAACGTGACGTTTCGTAGTGATTGTTTGACACAAACGGAATATTGTCCACGTGGAGTGCGAGTTTCTGACGCGTATGCTACAGTAACACTAAAACCTTCCTATTTCGAGTACGTAACGAGGGTGAACTGATAGTTAACACACGTAGTGGAAAGGCATTCGTAAAAGTAAAGTGTCTTGTTGTGGAAAATTTCTGCTTTTTATGCAGTAACATAAATAACATTTAAATCTTGATAAAACTCGTTAATCATAAATTGTGATAAATGCAATTATATAATCATTGGAGGTAACCGCACGAGAAAATTTCATTCACCGTCTATTAGTAGAAGAAAAAATTATCCGACGGAAAGGTTCCAAAGTGTAGCTCCATGAATTAATTTTCTACACCATGGTCGGTGTAAGGAGGGTGTTCCCGCCTTATTATTGTATTATCAACATTAGTTCCAAGGACATTCTGTTCACGAGGTATCGTGGTATGCATGTATGTCAAATTAACAGTTTGATATCACCCCATAAGCACGATTTGGTAGATCGTAACTCGATATTCTGACTGCGAATCGACTAGTATTGCGATATTCGGGATTTAAAAGGATATATTTGGCACACATCACACTTAGACTATCGGCTGACGGTCTTTGCATCAAATATCATTGAATATATCCTTATCTTTCCTGGGTGTTTCCATATAGACATTCCAAGCAGTGCGTTCTCCAAAACATTTCTTTAGAGACAGGCAATTGAGCAACTCATGTAAGACAGTTAGTTCCACGTCTATTTGAGTAGAAGCTCTCCATCTACACTCAGAAATAGAGCAAGCGGATTTAACGGAGGGTGTCATATCGCTGGAGGTCAAGATTCGTGAATTTAATGGAACATGTTCGAGTCTTTGACTAGAAAGAGTATAATTTCTTCGGTCAAACATGCGCTAGATACAGATTAAGATGCCCCGATTTAAATGTCTTCTTCATGGTTCACTCGAGGAAAGTTCGGCTAAGAAGACAATAAGACCAAATA